TGGGTTCGAGAGCAGATAACCTGAAAGGTACTTCTGAACAGTTTGCTGAGTGCTGAAAACTCCTCCCTGTTCAGAAACTATCAGCTTCAGTGAAAAAGGCCACATAGTGCTTATGAAGCATGCATTTCAGCCAGCCTGGTATGTTTTTCATCACCTCTTGCGTAGATGTGGAGAAGGCAATGACCTCAGTCAGAGCTGAAAGAATCTCTGATAGACAATCCTTAGTATGTGGACATACTGGCAAGAAAGCATATTTAGGAGCAGTCAAGAAAACACAATCATTCAAGGATTCTTCTTCCTCTTCATTCATGGAAATATGAGTTAGAGTATCAGCTTGCACAAAATGGAATTTATTTGAAATATGTTTACTGGAAAATATAAAGAGCCATAGTGATGCTCTTGGAGACCTGAGCAATACTTATGAGAGCAACACAACAATTAAAAATGTGAAACTGTTCACAGTTGGTAAGAATGAATGTATATCAAAAAGTCATATTTAGAGAAAATTGATTATAATGAAAAGGGCGGTTTAAGAAGGATACAGTGCACATACACGTATGACTAATGTTGATCAAAATAATCCATAAAATGTTTTCACAGGACCTTATCTGTACTTAATATATTTCATGGTTGAAGGAATTTTTGCCAGCATAGTTTATCCAATATTTGCCTACTTGCTTGGCTTCCTAAAAATAGTAAAAAGATTTTAGTACATCAATAGATATTTCCTCTATTTAATCTACTTAACAGCCAACAGATCAGTATATACATAAATAATATTAGTTTAAGCGATAGCTATTTCACAATGCCAGTACAGCACTTGCAATATTAATTAGAATTCCACAGGTGAAACAAAGGTGTGTTGTACCACACACGTATTTTACAGAATCCTAGACCACTATTCCATGGACAGTAGAGCAAAAGACAAGGCATTCTTTTGCATGGCACCTTTTTAGGAACTTGGAGAGTGCTGTTATGGAACTCCTTTATTTTCTTTTCTCAAGACTACTCCCATTCAGCTCTCATAACCTTTTCTCATAGAATTTAGCTTCCAGTCCCATAATAACTTTTAGTGTTCTTTGGATCTGTTTTAAAATATGGTGCCCAGAACTGAACACAGCATTTAAGGTAGGATCTAATCAAGGAAGAATAAAGTGAATGACTATTCCCATAATTTGAAAACTATCTTTTTACTGATTTATTTTAAATGTGCATTCTTTTTTTTCTTTTTTTTTTTGTAGCCATATTATGTGGTTGGCTCATGCTTGGATTGTGATCAACTCCAGCACAAGTTTATTTTACACATTTACAATTGCCAAATTAAATCTGGTAATGTACACTTCACCTGTGCATTTAGGTATATTTTAAGTGAAGAACATTTCATCTGTCACTGATAAATTTCATTATGTTATTTTCAGCTTATTTTTCTAACCTGTTACGATCATTTTACATTTGTCCCTGTTTTCTAGAGCATTAGCCAATTCTTGCGAGCATTAGCTCTTTATCTCTTAATCCAAATCATGAACAAAAATACACTATAGGGCTGCAAACCATGTCCTGTGATATCCCACCTTACTCCAGGTTGATGAGCAATTGAAGAACATTCTCCTCAAGTATGTACTTCAAGTCATATATGGCTACATTTAATAAGCAATGCCATGCTACCCTTAACTCATTAGCTAATAAGAATGTCCTTTTATCAAATCAAAATATATTATGGCCAAAGCATCCCAGTAATTTAATAAAGAAGTTATCCAATAAAAAAATGAAAGATTAGTCTGATAAGACTTATTCTTGACATATCCATGCTCACTTCTGGTAAATGCTGTGTGGGTTTCAAGGTGCTTTCAGATCAATTGTTTTGTGAAATATTTAGAATCTTTCCAGATATCAATATCAGACTGACTGGCTTTTTACAGTTTTATTTAATTGTTTAAGAGACACCCATTATGGCTACTTTCTTTATTCCTGTTATAGAGTAGTAATCTTTACCTCTTTTCATTTCCAATCCCCCTTTCCCGATTCACCACAGTCCCTGAAACCATATCTGCCACATCGATACCATTTCTATAATGTGTTATTCCTCTGTAATATTTCTCTTTCTCTTTCATGCCTTCCTCCCTTGGCTGGCTGACTGGCTGGAGGAGAACAATAACTGAGCTGATGTAGAGGCAGAGGGTTTTTTCCAGCATCTTGGCTCCTTGTCTAGCTAGCTATGGCCAGACAGCAGACAGTGAATATTTACTTATTTATTTATTGCTACATTTATGTCTTGCCTTTACCCCAAGGGCAGAAGAGCATTTCCTCCTCAAGCTTTTTTCCAGCAGTAATTGGCTGGGGCTGAGCTTGGGCTGAGAGAGAGTGAGAGGCCCAAAGTCACCCAGTTTGTTTCCAGGAATGAAGGGGAAGTTGAAAGTGGATTTCTCTATCTGTAGCTCAACCTCTTAACCACTATACAACCTGGGCTCTCACAGATGTTAGCTCAGCTGCCAGTGGATGATGTTTGTTTATTTACCATCAGTTATATGTCCCCTACTCAAATATCTCTAGGCAGCAGATAACCTGCAAATATTTCCCTTGGTGTCTACCAATCCCCTTGCTCATTTTATTTCTAAAAAATAATTTTAAAATAGAGCCAAATTTAAAATATTGCCTATGGGCATTCTTAAAAAATTATTTTAAAAAAGGTGGCTGGCTGCT